CATGGGCATCATCTGTGTCCCATGGACACATTCTCCATTTATTTTTTCATGAACATGAATCAACAGTTCAAAACTGGACCTCTACGGTAAAAGAGTGAACTATCATGAAAGTTGAATGTTAATTTCTCATGTATACTTAATAAATTACAAAATCTGAATTATTAAGACTAGAGAGCTGATTCTAGACTTCATTATACCTGTACAATAAAAGTACTGTCCAAATTTTGATTAACTGTTTATTTGGGCTTATTGTGTGTTAAAAACAATCACTGAAAAGTGTTACGTTCTTTTCTTGAATATAAATATTTCTGTAATGTTGCAAACTGGAGTACAAATTTGTACTGTTAAAAATCTTTCAGTCATAAATTTTCATCCACTTTTATGAAATAAAACTGACTCCTGTAATTTTCATCAACATGATATTTCATTATCAACTGATGTCAGCACATAGTTAGAATACCTTTACAGCATAAGTGCAAGCTGTTACTCTAATATTTTGAAGATTTGTGATTCTGACATTTTTACATACGAAAATAAGTCACATACTTATATTTACTCTTCATAACTCATTTGGTAATTAGGACAAACCATTCAAACAGTATATGATGATAAAAGCATATCTGATTATTTACTGAATTCAGAAAATTCTACCGGTTTCATTATCTTTCATGGGATACTAATTATTGTGGAATTTTTTCGATAATGATTACTGACGAATTTAAGTGTTCAACAAAATACATGTTGACTGAAGGCTTGCATGCAGAAGTAGTTAAAACAGTGAAAACAAAATTCCGCTAATTTCCAAAAAATCAACGTAAAATTAGAACCCACAAAAATTAAAGAATAATGTTGTAAGAACATTTTGATATTTTTTACAGTTACAAGATGCATTGTGCAAAAAGCCATAGAAATATAGAAACTTTCCATGTTTTTAATATTTATAAGCACCTGTATCAAAGCAAAAAGTTAAAAAGTTAAAAAAAGAGGCAAAAGTTGGTAATACTTCATTATTCAGTATTAAATTACGTATTTTTTGCTAATCTGTTCTTAAATCAAACGAAAGTACATAAAAACTGTATGACATGTGCACTGTATATAATGACCCAGGGCATATTTAGCTATAGTATATCCATAAATTTACTTTACAGGTATATTCGTATTACAACCCTTTTAAGTGTCAGGTCTTTATTACAAACCTTTCAATGGAAAGGACAGAGATGTAGGATGAAAAATGTAATTAAATATGTTTTTAAAAAGTTGCATTTAAGTTTTTAAATAAATTGAATTACATATATGAAAACTTATCATATTGTATTTGAGAAATTGAGCTGCATGTTATATTTGTTAGTTTTTTATGGAATTTTTAGGGAATCTTTGCATAGAATGTATGTGTAAATGTGAGATTTCCTACAAATATTAAGGCTACTGAAAACCAAACTTTGTCATATCAATCAGGTAGCAAAAATACCAGGATGTCAAGGGAGAAAAATAAACACATAAGGGTTAGTTTTTTTAATTGTTGATATATTTTTCATATTTTAGTTCTCTATAGGTGATATGTAGGAAGCATTATCAATTGAAATTGTTTTGAATTTGAAACAATTTTCAGTTTTGTTGAACAATTAATTAATTTTAAAGAGTTACTTATCTGCAAACAATATGAGAAAATGAAATGGAAAATTATTGGGAACAATAAAAAAGACCTTATGGAAAATGCTTGGGGAAAATTGTACATGTATATTTGTCAGTTGAAGGGAGGGGCACTTTTTTACGATTTTTATGTAATTCAACACATTGTACTAATATTTTGATTAGGACAAAAGTTTGATATATAATTCTATGGTCTGTGTAAATATGTGGAAAAGTATGTTTACTGGAAGTTTTTATTCTTCAGGAAAACGATATAGAAATGGTGACCACTTCATTCTAATTAAATAATGACCTTATATTTACTCAATTATTTTGTTCAAATACTTCATGTCAGAAAGTCTCTTTGTGTCCAGACAAGAATTGAATGAAGAAGGAATTATGATATAATTTAATTTTACGCATGCCAGTTTACTTTTTGTTGTATCTAAGTGTTGGTAGATGACGAAAGTGATTTTACATTTCATTTCAAACTCATTATCATAATACAAATTTAAATGATGACCTTTATCTCTTTAATTGAAATTCCATAAATTTAAAATCGGTGCCAATCGTAAAGGATTGTATACTACTTACCTTAAATCTGGTAGAGTATTACAAAGTGAAATTTTATACAAGTTGAATGATAATACTATCAGTGATTTTGCCACGGGGTGAAGAGCCCGCCCTCGGACCATGACAATAACAACAGTGTTTTGATTAATTAAGGTGTTCATCAGATTACTATTATCCCACTGTTAGTTTTGGACAGTGACGTTGATTAGCTTACATGCAGCATCAGGATTTAATTTACTGGATTTAAAAAAAAACGAAAGGATTATTTCGTGTTGGGATATAAATCGTGCGTTTTTTTAACAGCCACCTGTGAGAAATTTCTTTTGTATTGTTTATGAGAATTTAATTAATTGGCAATTTGGCAGTTATTCTTTCTTCGTAGATTAAAAATAATCAAATTTCAAAACTATTTGCAAAATCAAGGACTTTTGTATATATGAATATATACAGAAGTTTTTGGTTAGAATTTCGTCTTGTATATTTGATATGATAATTAGTGTCCTCTATGTATATGCCTTGGTATATATATATATATTCATTTGACTTATCAAATTACGGTGATTGTATAAAGCTTCTGTACAAATTATAAAGACATCTGATAGTTTATACAGTGAATCTAATCCATTAACACCTAACTAATGTACATTAATCTGAATTAATGTGAAGAAATGTGTGGGATTAATAATATGGATAAAGCATTATCTAAAGCTCATATGCTCATCTCCAAACTTCAGAAAAAATATGGATTTAAGTACAAATCGAGGAATTATTTGTCTTCAGATTTGTCTACAGAAGTCATCAGCGACCAAAAGGTAGGATGCTTAGTGTTAAACAAAAATTTCAATCGGGAATTTATGATCTAAAGAAAAATCATCAAACCTGTATATAAAGGTTACCTTTAGGACCAGAAAAAATTGAGACCTTACAAAAGAGGTTACCTTTGAATTGAGGTTAAAAAACACAGGCATTACTACAATGGGACAAGAAGAGGGTGACCTGCCAAGTCAATTTTTGCTGAATAGAGGTGATCTGTATAGCAGGTTTGACTGTAAAAGCATGTACATTTGTCGGAATTATTTCATAAGAAATGACAATTTTTTTGTAAAAAGTTTGTAGTTTTAAAAGTTTACACACAAATTTGACGAGTCCTGGTGACCTAGATGACAAATGTTTCAGTTGTTTTGGAAGTTTTTTACCTTGGTCACCAGGTTAAAAAGATTTTATGAATGATTATATTGTATTACTTCATTATAATGCATTTAGAATAGAGTTATGTCCCTTGAAGTAAATTTTTTTGTGGTATATGCAGATGTCTGGCAGTAATATTTATTGAAAGTGATGTGACATGCTTTTATTACACAACTTGAGCATATGTTGGAAACTGATTACAAAAGTTTTTATATTTGTATGTAAAAACTGTTACATTGATGATGATGCTGTGAGAAATTACATGAATATCTGTTTTAAAAGGGTCTGTTATAGTAGTTATTGAAAATTAAAGAAAATGCTTGCTGAGTGCGGGTGGAAATTTTATTTTACCAATATATTTTTTTTTTTAGTTGCGAATACTTTCTGTTAGTAAAGTACATTGATATCACTATGTATTTGGTTTTAAAAGTCTACATAAACTTATGGAATCTTACTATAGAAACAAGTCTGTACAGAAAAACCTCTAATTCAATCCTTGTTTTTTTTCCCATATCTGCTGTTGTAAGGCTCACTAGTGGACAGTTTGGTGTCTGGGTTTGGCTTTCTTTTGTATTAGGTTTTTGATTTTCAATTTTGATATATCTTGCATCACCGAAGAGACATTATTTGGTGAAATGTGCATTTGGTACAGTAAATTTGATACTGTTAATGTTATTAGATGACCATGTACAAAATGTATCTAGGTTTAGAATTATCAGGTGCTCACGTTAGTATTTTAAATGTTTGAAATGCTTTTGTCTTTTGCAAGTTGAAAGCCGAAATTCTAAATTGCATAAGATCATGACTGGTTTGATTACACATTTATGCTACCCTGCATCCCATATTTTGAAAACCGTTGTAATTAGAATAGTCAATCTTAAAAATAAGGACCAAGATTTTTATAACTAAAAAAAATCAATAAAAAAGATTTGTACAAGTAATTGATATGGTAATTTTTTTAGAAATCGTAAAATTGTAAAAATTATCTTGTAAAGATTCAGAAGACAAAGGGGTCCTACTGTTGAATAAAGGCTAAAATTGGACCAGAGAAATATATAATGTCACAGTTATGGTAACTAGATATCAAGTTCCAGAATTGAAATAGTTTGTAAAGCATTTTTTTCTTCACTAAAATATAAGGCCATTGGCTACAATTCATGCTTTTGAATAATTCTGTGAGAAAATGTGAAGTTAAATAAATAAGATACAGTAGGTTTATAGGAATTACTACTAATAGGAGGGGTGGTTTGTCCTAGACTTTAAAGGATTATTCAGATTTGAGTATTGATATAGTTTGGTCCACTTTTCTGTGATAATGTGCCAAGGGACTATTGTTTTTATTAAATCAGCAGTTCTTTATAAATCATTACAGATCTGGGGGGCCGGTCTATAAATTGCCATGGGAGAAGCAAAAAGGAGTTCACAAGTACATTTGTAATATTGAGCTGTTAGGGAAACGTGAGGATTGGTGTTTTAACAATTGTATCTTTATTAAAATTCATTACATAATTAAAAATAAAGGTAAAAAACGACAACGTTAACATCAATACTGAGTCATTGGTGCAAGCTGTTTACATCTAACAAACAGCTGTACAGGTAATCTGTAGTTAGTTATTGCTTCAGGTATATGGCAGTTTCTACCTGTCCGTTCAACGAAACATCCCTCAATGAATTCTCAGGATAATATCGATATAGATCATCTTGTCAACAAAAATGTGGTCAGTTTGGAAAGATACTGAAAAAGACTTTTATTATATACTAAATATACTATGATTGACATGATTTATTGGACAGAATGTCATATTTGGAAAAATTAATGATGAAAAACAATGAATTTTAAACATACAAATAGCCATTCCAATATTTTTGCCATACATGGTCATTTACAATTCAAATTGTTGACCAGGATTTATTTTGGTGGAGATTCAGAATTTTCTTCAGAGGTGAGAATATATTTTTCTTTCTGTTCTTTGGTTTATTTTTTATTGATTTGAAGAAACATGTGCTTTGTGCCAAGAGTATGTCACATACTTAATTTTATAAGAGTATTGGAAATATATTAAGTTTTCCTGTTTTTAAAGTTTTTATGTGAATTTCATCTTTGCATGAAAAAATATAAGGTTAGACAACTAGAATAGTTCATAGTGATATGCCACACAGCACAGATTTCAACTTGGAACAAAGGACAACTAGCCAAAATCACAACATATTAACAATAGGGTGGGAGAAGTCTTGTCTGTAATAGAAACTTAAAGGGTGCTTGAGTTATCTGGTTTATTAAACATGGTGGCAGCAGTGGAACTAAAGTTCCTATTGGTTTATCAAACATAGTGGATGCAGTGGCACATATGTTCCTGTTGAACCAAACATTTATAGATTGACAAATCTAATTTGTGATATTGATACAAAAGAGCCACTTGAACTGATTGGAGGGACGTTGAATTATTTTTCTTTTTATTCTAATGGAAAGCATTTTCTTGAACATTCAATTTTGAAAGAAAACTAACAATTTCCACAGAATTATTTCTAGTTTTTTGCTGACTCAGCTTATAGTGGTAATATATGTAAAAACAGTTTCAATTTTTACAGAAATTTAAAACATATACATTAAACATAATGTAACACTATATCCTGGATCAGTTACAAAAAGATTTCATTTAGTAAAGACATACTCATACCTAAGGCTAAGATAAGATGACCCTAGCAAAAATGTAAAAGAACAATATATTTTTTTTTTAGACAGCAACCCTGAAAGTAAATACAAGAAGAAGAAGAAATAATGTCTTCAAAAGAATAGACAATTTTCTGAACCATATAATATGCCAAGCTCTTAATGTAGAGAGTTCATACAAGCTATCAATAAATTAAAAAGAGACTACCACACATTTGTAATCAACCACAAATTCAGAAACACTAAAATATAGAAAAGAAACTGCACCTACAAAGTTCTCAACTTGTTACATATGCATAGACATGGGGTCATGGGGTTAGATTATTTATTTAGTACTTAACCCTCCATCTTTTTGTTTTGAATTTTTCTTTTTTTCCACTTGACTGTCCCAATCTTTGCTGTGCCTTTTAACATCAGGAGAATCATTTTAGATGAAGCTTTAAGATAGCAAATATCACAAGGGTACAAAATGTTAAAAATAAACATGTAGCTTTTAATCATATTTTTAAGAACTCTCAATTTACTAGCTAGTATTAAAGCAAGCTATTTATTGATTCCATGCTGCTAAAGACAGGAAGTTCATTGTAATGTGAATACTACATGTAATGGCATACTAATATGAACTTATGAAGAGGAATATGATTTATGGGACTTATTTTCAGTGTTAATAACCTTTAGTACCATACTTTGGTAGATAGCTAGGACAGTTCCATTCTGGAAATGCAGCTATGCATAAAATTATAACCATTTCCTTGCAATAAATAGTTATGATCCTTAAAATTCCAGTTTTCCAATCAATATTCTATTAGGTTCTTTATATAAATCTAGACAGTAAGAGTCGAGTTCAGGATTGTCATTTTAACCAATTGTCGATAAAAATATGTTGTTGGAATATCTTTGTATTGCTTAATTATTTATGTCCTTAAAATTACAACTTCTAAACATCAATTTAGGTATATTTCCTTGTCAGTAACTTATCCTATTAAAAAGTAATTTCAATTGTTGTTTTAAACTATATGAATACTGAAAAATCAATTTTTATGTTTTTTTTTTTTGTGCATCCGTGGAATTGGGTTGCTGTCTTATTGACAGATTGATTGAAATACATGTTCCAATTAACCCAACAGCCAAGGATGTGTAAGTTTCAGACTGATATAAAAATTGCTTTTGATTATGCATAAATGTGTATTAATTTGTTTGGGAGGAACAAATTATATTTGATGACAAGATAATGGTATCCTTGAAATCTTCTAAATATAAATATTCAGGTTGTTAAATTACTATGACATAATATTTGAAGCCTGAAGATCAATGTTGTTCATTGAAGGATGACACCTAAATAGATAGTTTTTGTCAGTATCTTTTTTTTTTTCTTTTCATTCATGACCTTGTAAGGTCACAACAGTCTTAAAAATTCAAATTATAAGGTTGCGGGAATACAGTAAGATATAAAATTAAAATTCTAGACAGGAAATCTTCGTGTCTAGTCTCTGGTGCAATCTCTTTTTAAAAGGTTTTGATGTAAATATTCTAGTACATCACATGCATCACTTATTATTTAAGCATATGACCAAAAGCAGGCTTATCCTGTACATTTATATATGATCATCAAGAAACCGAACATTTTCATGCCATCAATTTATGCATAATTGGATTTCTACAGTGTTAAAAATATTGTTAAGTTTACTTGATATGTGGTTAAGCTGTCAACATATAGATATATAAATATAGGTTACTCATGTTGGGGGAGAACAATCCATCTCAAATGGGAGTCAGATATATAATTAACTTACAGGTAATCCTGGAAAGTTGTAGTGGGAATATTTAGATATTTAGAAAAATGGTTAATAGGCTCAGACCAAGTCACTTTGACATAATTCAAAGCCAAATATTTTTATACAATCCATGGTAAGTATCTTGTTGAAGGTAAATTTGTTTGTACAAGTTTATTTATATAAAATTTATGGAGCAATTGCTCAAGATAAACGTAGAAAGTTTTTCACAAATTTAATAAAATAAGTGTGGACACTACAAAATACCTGGGTGTTTTAATTGATTATGTTACATGTTATAGCCTGATGTCAAGTTCAAATTTTAATTCTTAGTTTTACCATTTGTGTATTTACAGGACCCAGAAACAAGTACAGATGACTGGGGTCTGGTGGACGAATGTGGTCAGAGGTACCTCCTACCCAAGACCATGCTGTTTATGGGGAGAGAGGAGTGTGATATAGTTGTCAAGGTAACATAATATAGTATATATCCTATATAGAACTGATGATGTAGTGCGCAAAATGTCAAAATTGAGCACAAATACAAAAGTTTTTATTTCTTCTGAATTGACAGGTATCTACTAAAATTAAAAAGTGTCTAATGCTATCGAAAAATTGATGACACCAGGATACAATTGCTCTAACGTCTGACAGCCCCCATCAAGTCCTAAAAAAAGCGTTCAGACATCAGAGCAATTTTGGACTAAGTAGAATAAAGATGTTAATTGTTATAATACTAAACTTCAAAACATTGAAGAAAAGTGTATCAATATATACTAGTATACCACAGACCATACATATGTGTACCAACTATCTTGCAACGGGTTAGTTCAGTTTGAATTTGATGTAGAACGGTTTACACAATTGCTAGGTATTGAAATCACTAGTAAGTTAATAGGGTGATGTCTTGATTCTGGTTACCTTACCATAGGTTTTTCGGAGTTCCACTTCAGCATATTTCACTCCCACTCCTAGAGGGGCTATATTGCTCGGAGTTCCACTTCAGCATATTTCACTCCCACTCCTAGTGGGGCTATATTGCAATCACTTTGTCTGTTCATCCATTCTTCACTCAGTTCATCCAACAAATATTTTTGGCAGACTTTTCTTAGAAACTACAAAATTTGGTCAGCAGCTTGATAGTGATGAGTTGTAATGTGTGTGTTATTGTATCTGTCAGAACCTACTTCCTGTTTTCCGATACTGTGACATTAGGAGTGGAGGTATACTTAGCACATCAGCACATGCATTCATCTTTGGTTTTACATTGTAATTCCTTATAATTTTTCAAAACAACTCAATAAAATGGAAAAAGAATGGATATCTTGCAGGAGAACTGTTTAAAGACCAGTATATGGTTTTAAGATATTTATGCAACAACATTTTGAATATTTAACAAGGCACAGTAGCACATTTACTCTGAATGTGATTAAATTCTAAATTTCATCATGGTGTATTGACAAAACAATGGTTTGTGGCCATATACTTTGCATATCCTGTACACACAAGGTGAAAATCTGTCATGCTGTTGGTTTTTCACAGTGTATTTTGTTGATTTGGCTTTTACATAATCAATAGAAACTGTACAAATATAAATCAGAGTGTTACCACTCCAGTTCACCAACAGTCTCTGTTAGTTATTGTGAACCACTCAACATTTCCAAGCATTAATATTTGCCACTGAATGTAAGACACCAATCTATCATCATCCTCATCATCAACACCTTCAAGGATAATCATCAACACCTTCAAGGATAATTGTTTTAAGTGAATCGCTATGTTTGACCTAAAGTCAACATAAAATATTACCACAAAATACATGAGAACTGAAGCCCTTTCAATACAGTGGTACTTTGAATTTTTGATCAGAATATCTTTTTGGGTCCAAGTAGGGATTGAAATATCTTGGCTGCTACTAACGATTTTTTTGAGTTTTTTATCAATTTTTTTTTACTTTCACCAAGCAGTTGTCTTAGCCGTCAAAATTCTTCAGTAGTTGTGATTTTTCTATTGTGATGACGCATTCCTGAAACTTTTCATTCTGTTTTGTATTTTTTAGTTCAATATTATTTTGAATTACATTGCTAGTCTAATGAAAATAAAATAAAAATCAAAGCAACACACAAATTTCACAGATCTAATTAAAGATGATAATACTGAATCTGGTTAGAGTAACTTGCAGTGTTTAGGAATGAAAACTTTATGTTTCAATAAACTGATAATAAATTTCACAGATTTTATTAGCAATATGATTTGTTGTATGCATCTACACATTGATGGAATGTTCATTTGACATGTCTCCAAAATATTGCCAATATTAACACTTTCTTCATTTAGGAAGTAAAGGTAAATTAGAGTTATTCCCCTTTAAATGATCATATGACCTGACTGTTTTTGTGAATTTAATGTTATGTTTGTGATGGAAACCTGTTAGACCACATGTTCCATTTAAACCTTTAATATTGTTAAAAAAATATCGGGAGGATATATTGGCTAAATATCTGTTGAAAGGATAAAAAAGTCAAAATTTAAATGTAAGTACACTAAGGAATTCATTATATTGATTTTCTTCTTCTATGGTTCCAGGATATAAATTATATAGTCAGAGACCTGATATTGGTTTTGAATAAAACGTGTTTATTTTTGCATTTACTTCTGTAACATGTGAAAGTGGAAACAATATTCTTATTGCTTGAGGTCAAGTACCATTATTGTAATATTTGATAGATTTTTCATTAAAGAAAACTTAAAGAAGACGTTGTACCTTAGCATGTATTCATTAGAGTGAAATTTAAAATTTAGATGTAAGGTTTTATGACATAAGTAAGATCCTGCTGTGAAAAAATATTAAGTTACTTTGTGTAAACTTATCATAGAATGAATCAGCTTAGTATGTTCCACATAGATTTTGTCTTTTCATAAAGATCATTCAATATTCAAGTGAGAAAAAAGAGTTTTATGTTCAGTCTTGTAAATTTTTCGTGATTACAATGAATATATTTGTACAAACAAACTGCAGTTATTTGAGTAAGGTATACATTTTTTTTCTATATCAGAATTCATTTGGACACAAATCATTTTCAAGTGTAAACTTGTATATAATAAATTATTCCATTCATAAAAGGATAGAGATCTTATCAGTTTTTGGATCAAAATTCCTATTTTATTTAGATTGCAAGGTACTTTTAGAGTCAGGAGATTGGAAACTTAAGTAAATTTGTGGTTGATTTGTAAGTTAAATGTTCAAAACTAAACAGTAAAAATAGACTAAGGTACAAGTACATATCAAATAAAGGAGGGTGGAAATGGGTATCTGATATGATGACTCGTGTTGTAAATTTAACATGTTCCTGTGCCTCAGTTCCAAGTTAGGAGCCTCATCAGTATTAGATGTTTTGAGAATTCTTTGTTGATTGAAGATCTTTGATAATCTCTGTTAAATTTATTAACTTTCTGTCTAGACTAGGAATGATTTAGAGCTTGACATATTGTATAGACACCCCCACACCCCTGTGGTAGGACATCCTGGTACTTGGTCAAGTAAGAGCAAGCAAAAAAAGTAAAATCAAACACATAAATGGTGCAATTTGGGGGGAAAGTTTACTGTTTTCTGAAGATTTTGTCGTGTATAGAAAACATAAAACAGTTAATTTCCCCCCCTAAATTGTATCAATCGTAAGCTTGATTTTACTTTTTTATGTTGCTCCTACTTAACCGACTACCAGGATGTCCTACCACTGTTTCCAGTAAGAGAAGGTAACCTGTCGAAAAAATATAAACTCCGGAGTCAAAAGTCGGTAATATGAAAAAAGTCTATTGAGGTATACACCAGTAAGATAGTAAGAACCACATCTTCTTTTATAAATATTACACGTGCCATGAGTCCTTTTCTTAGTACCATTTTCTTCTTTGTTTTTTTTTTTGTTTTTCGATAAAACTATTAGAAAATGGAATGTATTGTGACAGAAGAAGTTCATTTTAATTACTTTATATTAACAGCTGTAACGCTGACAGTACAAACTTTCTCTAAAAAAAATATTGACTAATATCAGGTGCTTTGGAAATGCTATTTGTTCAAGCCAAATATTCTCAATAAAACTTTTTATAGAGTTCCACACGAACCCAAACCCATCCAGTCCAGAATAGGCTGTATGAAGCCATGTTTCAAGTCTAAATTGCCCACAAAGTTTGGTCAGAACAATTAAAACGAATGAATTACTATTTACAGATACTTGTATTTTCACACAAGATTCAAGAGCGTTCCATTCATAGTGTTAAAGTACATGTATAGAAACGTGTATTATAATTCCGTAACTGTCTACCCCACCCATTACTACTGTTTGTGTAAGACCGTGTATTGAAATAATTTATTTCCTAAGTCAAACTTGTTGGATAAACATACATGGTTTTCATGTTATGTATATGTATATATCTTTAAGACCATTTAAATTATTGTTAATTTATTTATCAAGGAAAGTTTTTTTATTATTCAAATTAAATAAGCATAAAGCATACAAAGGAAAGGTTAATATTAATGTATTCCATTTAAGCCAGCTTTAAACTTCCATTATGGTGTCTTTGTGCCAAGTAGTTAATGGTGTCAGTATGATTAAATAGAAAGATACCTTGAGGAACTGTTAGGAGTGTATCATCTGATTTTATTATTTGAACTTTATATGCAAATATAGAACAGTAATAAAAGCTCTTTTCTTTTGCCTTGGGGTTTGTTGGTGCATGTATGGATTTTTTGTCATGAATTAATAAATTTTATCCATTATTTTCCATTTATTTTTAAACCCTTGTTTTTTTTCAGTCCTATTGTCTTATACCCTAGGTATATGAATATGCATGAAATATGTGCTGCTGGAAGTTAAAGCACATTTTTGTTTATTGGCTATTTTCTTTTTAATTTATTTTGAAACAGCTTTTATTATTTCAATCATATTGTCTCATACAATAGATATATGAATATGCATGAAATATTTGCCACTGGAGGTTAAACAAACAACATTTAATCATACTCCTGATTTCATTTGATTGGTCATTTTCTTTTCCATTTATTTTGGAAAAGCTTTCTTTTATTTCTATCATATTGTCTTGTACTGTAAGAACATGAATATGCATAAAATATTTGCCACTGGAGGTTAAGCTAACAACAATCAATCACACTCCTGATTTTATTTGATTTGTCATTTAACTGGATTACCTTCTCATCTATTAAGGTCATCAAGTTTTCTACTTGTCTGTCTTTGCATTAGTTTGTCTGGCTCTGAGTATTATCCCTGTATTCTTGTCTACTTAGCATATTCATTGCTTGTACATCTTCACAAGTCCTTAATGGATTGTAAGTACATAATTGGATTACAAGGTACTAAAAAATTTAGTACTTGCTGTATGAAATGTGTTGCTTTCAGTAGGAGACTTAGAATTGGTTTGTCTCTTTTAATTATGTGGTCATTTCTTAAGAAAT